ATATCAAAATAAATATAGTTCATGCCATACAAAAGAGTTCATTAATATGTTCATTATATCTGAAAAGCTAAGATTAGACATCATTATCAAAATTAACCTCAAATCCATAATCTAAGAATTGAAACTATTGTAACGGTATTACGGATTCAGATATTTCACTATAAAGCCATACCCATAACCATATCCTATAGATTATAGATTTGAGTAATCATATCCATACAGATTTGAGTAACTATATCCTATCAGTTACGGGTATGTTCTCAAATACATATCCAGTTTAGCACCCCTAGTTATAGCTCATGAAATCATCAATTTGGATTTTGCGAAATTATCTGCCAATAGGTCAAAATGATAATAAATGGCTAATGGGTTATAATTCATAAAATCTTGAATTTTGACCATCATAGAATTATTTGCCAATGGGTCAAAATGATTAAAAAATAGCAAATTTTATATATTACAACATCAAAATTTGTGATTTTCATAATCTTTTACCCATGATTTTTAATAATTTTTATTTATTTTGAATGAATGCAAATTTATTATGTGTAGATCAAAATTTATGATTTGCATAAGTTATAACCATGATTTTTTTGTAGTTTGTTTTGAACAAATAAAGATTTAAAGTTCACAGTTTTCATGCTCGATAATGCACAATTTTTGACAATTTTTGTTCATTTCCAACAAATACAAATTCATTGTATGTCAAAATATGAAAATTTTTATTAGTCATGTAGGAAGCAAATTTATTATGTGTATATTAAAATTCATGATTTTCATAATTTATAACCCATTATTTTTTATATCTTTTTCCATTTCAAACCGAAAGCAAATTTACTATGTCTACTTTAAAATTTGTGATTTGTGTGAGCTAAATTCATAACTTTTCTCTATTTTTTTGTTTTGAACATATACAAATTTATTAAGTCTACAATCAATATTTACAATTTCTATTAGTTGTAATCCATGAATTTTGACAGTTTTTGTTCATTCTCAATGAATACAAATTTAATATGTGTACATCAAAATTTGTGACTTTTATAAGCTATAACCTAGGATTTTTGACAAGTTTTGTTCATTTCCAATGACTACAAATTTCTTATGTGCACATTAAAATTTTCAAGTTTCATGAGCTATAACCCATAATTTTTGTCCATTTCTATCCATTTCGTATGAATGTGAATTTATTATGCGTACATTAAAATTCAAAATTTTCATGAGCTATGAGCCATGATTTTTGATAATTTTTATTCATTTCCAACAAATACAAATTAATTATATGTACATCAAAATTTGTGATTTCCAAGAGCTACCCACAACTTTTGTCAACTTTTATTTGTTTCTACTATTGCAAATTTATTATGTCAATATCAAAACTAATGTTTTTCATGATATATAACTTACAATTGCTTATAATTTTTAGTTGTTTTCAACAAAAGCAAATTTGTATGTATACATTAAAAATTGTGATTTTCATGAGCTATAATCCATGACTTTTATCAATTTTTATTCATTTCATATAAATGCAAATTTATTATGTATACAATAAATTCATGATTTTCATGAGTTATAACCCACAATTTCAATCAAGCTTTGTTCATTTTGAATGAATGATTATTTATTACGTGTACGTTAAAATTTGATCTATAACCCACAATTTTTGTTTAATTTTGTTTGAATACAGATTTATTATGATAATTTATGATTTTTATGAGCTATAACACATAATTTTTGTCAATTTCTGTCATTTTGAACTAATGCAAATTTATTATGTGTACATCAAAATTCATGAATTTCATGAGCTATAACTCAAGATTTTGTATAAGTTTAACAAATGCAAATTAATTATGTGTGTATCAAAATTTGTGGTTTTTATGTGCTATAACCCACAACTTCTTTCAAAAAAAATTCATTTCATATGAATGCAAATTTTTTATGTATACAATAAATTCATGATTTTCATGAGTTATAACCCACAATTTCAATCAAGATTTGTTCATTTTGAATGAATGATTATTTATTACGTGTACGTTAAAATTTAAGCTATAACTCACAATTTTTGTTTATTTTTGTTTGAATACAGATTTATTATGATAATTTATGATTTTTATGAGCTATAACACATAATTTTTGTCAATTTCTGTCATTTTGAACTAATGCAAATTTATTATGTGTACATCAAAATTCATGAATTTCATGAGCTATAACTCAAGATTTTGTATAAGTTTAACAAATGCAAATTAATTATGTGTGTATCAAAATTTGTGGTTTTTATGTGCTATAACCCACAACTTCTTTCAAAAAAAATTCATTTCATATGAATGTAAATTTATTATGTTTACATCAAAATTCATGTTTTTTATGATCTAAAATCCGTAATTGTTTTATAATTTTTTATTCATTTTTGACAAATGTAAACTTATTATTTACATCAAAATTTAATCTTTCATGAGTTATAACCCATGATATTTGTAAATATTAGTTTGTTTTCGATAAATGCAAATTTATTATGTGCATATCAGAATTCACAATCTTCATCAACTATATAACCCATGATTTTTGACACTTTCTGTTCATTTTGAAATAATATATATTAATTATATGGACATCAAACTTTATAATTTTCATAATCTTTAACACAAGAGTTTATTAATATTTATTCATTACGTACGATGCAAATTTATTATGTGTACATCAAAATTCATAGTTTTCATAATCTATAACCTATGTTTTTCTATTATTTTTGTTTATTTCTAATGAATAAAAATTTATTATGCATACATCTAAATTTTTTATTTTCATGAGCTACTTATAGCTTTCGTTAGTTTTTTTTTATTTTGGATGGATACAAATTTATTATGTCTACATTAAAAATTATTATTTCATGAGTTGTAACTCATTAAATTTAAAAATTTTGGTTTACTTTAAGTGAATACAAATTTAATATGTGTACATTTGAATATATGATTTTGATAAGTTATAACCCATTATTTTTGTATATTTTATTTTAATTTGAACGAATGCAAATTAATTTTGTGTACATCAAAATACTATATCTACATATTATTATTAAAATAAATGTAAGTAGAGACAGATATAACTGTTTATGAGGTTTATAGATTTAAATTATGATACACACTTCAATATATAGTATAAATATAAATAAATTTAGATAACTTATATACCACTTATGTTAATATATTAAAATCCGGTGGTCGACATGTTACACAGGTCGCCCCACCAATCACAACCAAAACTAACATGCAAAAACGACCACAACACATCTGAGCCTCACGCCAGACCGCAACCGGGCAGCGGCCTAACAAACAACTCAAGCCAACGCGGCGCTTCACGCAGAAGCCCTCAGCACCTAGAAGCAAGCATAAGCCTACCCCAATCCACTCAGTGCGCCCAAACACCAACACCCCATTCTTCGCCGATCAACTCGGATCGTTACCAGAGCAGTACACGTCACAACCAGGGCGCGAGACCGCGCTGAGACGTTATCCCCAACTGGGACCGCACAACGCCGCTCATGATCCCCTACTTCAGTTCACACCCCTATAGGTTGAGAACACCCCCGACACGTCGCCTCCACGCACACCACGGCCAATCCTGCCCCCACCAGCCGCCCTCCACGCCCGCCACAACAGGCCACCGCCCGACACCCGCAGCAAAGAACCTAGCATCAATACAATGAGAAAAGATCGAAAGCACAAAAATGAACAAAACTGAAATCACCAACCAGTAACATGAACAGTCCGAAACTAATTAAAAGATATTTATTTTAATGGTCGTCCTTATGGGCACTATATTATCATATCACTAGTCATACATCATTGTAATACAATTCATAATATACTATTCTATGGCTCAGGATTAATACCTTAATATATTATAATGTACTGTTTGTAATCAATCCTTTGAATATATATATGTATATGTTACGTATACTATATGTTATAAATTATTATTACTTAGCAATATTTGCGTGCGCCAACGTGCAAAACCATCTCGTGTACCCAACTTATAAGAGCTTCTATATCAACATTAATGTTATTGGGCAGTAAGTTTTTTTTAAATGGTCACTATTGCATTCGATAGTCTGTGGTAGTTATCAACGTGTATCTGACTTAGATTTATGCATCAATTGAAATAACATACGAATGGCTATCGAAAAAAAGATCCTAAGAACGAAACAGGTATAAGAATTAGGAGGAAAGAAAGATGGTACGAGAAGAAAGAAAAAATCCTACTTTGTTAACAATCGTCAGCATGTCAAATTCCGTTAACAACACAACTAAACTAACCATACGACGTTCATAGCGAAAAAAAGAACTAACAATGCCAGTAGAGAAAGAAAAAAGTCTCTTGTAATGTGAGTCAAATCCTAGTCCTCTCTCATAATTTAGAATATTCTAGAAATAAGCAATTAAAAGAACTAAAAGAAGTGTTAGCTCACTTTGACCCATGAATTTATAAATTTATCCCTCTCTTTTCTACTGTGATGATGGACAAAGTCATTCAAACTTTATGGTATGCCTCACTGGTTTTTTATATAACAGTATAGATGTATTTAGTTATATTATTATCATAACATATTAAAAATTATATTAAATAAATTGAATAACTTAATTTAGATTTAATCAATAAATCAATATCATAATTTAATAAGGTATCACATCATTAACTATCCTACTCAATTTATACTAATACTACTTCTAAATTGCTCCATTATCTAAGTTATCTCACCGTGTGCCTCTCCAATTGTCCCACTGGGTTAAATTGTTGCAAAAGGGATAAGTAACCACTTGGCTTATCATGGACGCAGCCAATCAATATATGTTAATTCGAAATTTGATTCTAATCCAACATAGTACTTATGGGTACATAAAAAATATACCGAATCAATTCTTTTCAATGAATTAATCCGATTGCATCTTCGAATATAGAATTCAAAGGGATTAAATAGGAAATGATACCCTGAATCATATATCTAAAAAATGAAAATATCTGAATATTCCTCATCTGCATATCCATTAGCTTAATTTGCATAGTTCTCAAGATAAACAACCGACAACATTAAAAAGGAAAGAAAGCCACAGCATATACGTGAAACTATGATCCTCATCAAGAAAAACAGCTAACATTAAAAATGAAAGAAGGCATCAGCAGCCTCAGAATGCACAGTGTCAACCAGTAGTCGTCACCATGAGCTTATCAATCACTTGCTTCCTCTTTTCAGGAAGAAGAGTTAAATCTTCACACTCTTGCAGGAGCTCTATGAGGGATGAAACTCTCCCCTCGCCCCCTGTTCCTCTCATTAGACCAATTTGGCTGCAAGAAATGCGAGAAGAATTAATCATCATCCGAACTATCCGAACAACTTTAATCCTAAACAACATCAAATGAATGCTTCACCTGCAGAGGTCGTATGCACTTCATTTGGTACACTGGCTGAGCCGAATTCTGCAACTAAGAAGAAGCAGATGCAGCATATTGTGGATAAGCTGACAGATGAACTGAATTCTGCATCTGAGAAGAAACAGATGCAGCATATTGTGTATAAGCTGATTGCTGCCGGTAGTAAACAGGAACGGTCTGCAAGAATACATATTAATTAGCATAAAGATGACAATGGAGCTTTTACAGTTTGCACAAAATATATTATAGCTTACCACAGGGTAAAGGTATTTGTAACCCTGATAGTGGACATAGTTTCTAGGCTGCCAATAATGCGGTAGAGGATACACTGCAGGGCGACTATAAGATGTGGATTGTGCCATTGTTTTCGCAAACTGAATCTGCAGTACCTTTTGTCGCTCTTCTTTGCGCTGAGCCATCGCCACGTAGATCGAATTGCCGTGAAACAGGGCCCCTGATCAGTATAGATAATTCAACCTTCTATCAGATATAAAAGGGTAAAAAGGATGAATTTACTTCAATGACAATAATCAAATACCATGAAGTGTTGTTACAGCCTTTGTAGCTTCTTCAGGGGATGAATAGCTCACAAAACCAAAACCCTTGCTGATTCCATTAGGATACCGCATCACTTTAGCAGAAACTACTTCCCCACATATGCTAAAATATATTTTCAATGTTTTATCATTGACCGAGGCAGCCAGGCACTTAACATATACATTTGTACCCTGAAAACAAACATGAGAGCTAAGACTTACCACAAATGTTGTATAATTAGAGAGGGGATAAAACATTAGCTCACTTGCACCTTCTTTGTGCAGTCTTCAGCACTTTTCTTCTCACTAAAATGCTGCTTCAGTATTTCTTCGCGCAATGCTTTCTTTTGAGCGAATCCAACATATATCTTCTTAGATCCTGACATCCCAGTTAAATAAAACAGATTGGGACATAATACATTCGCAATCTCAAAGTAAACTCAAGCGTAAAAATTAAGAATTTTGTTTTTACCAAACATTGAACCATTAAGAGCATCCATGGCCTTCATAGCCTGGTTGAAACCCTTCAAAGTGACAAATCCAAAACCTCTGGACTTGCCAAGCTCATCCTTCATGATAACAGCACTAGCGACATCCCCAAATTCAGAGAATTTTGCTCGAAGAAGATCATCTGTGAAGTCCGCTTCCAGATTCTTTACGTAGAGGTTAGTGTACTTTTGGCTTTGAGGTGATAATGCTTCCCTCTGACTCTTCTTAACGAAATTTGACACATAACTGATATACAATTAAGAAAGAATAAGAAAACATGACTCAAGTTTATAATCCTATCAATAGGCCAATATAAAGAATGCAATAATGCAAGAAAACATTAAATGTGATTTAGATAGGAAGTTCAAATTGGCTGTCACTGAAATTGGCCCAAAAAAATTTTGAGGGAACATGACACTTTCAGGAGTTAAGGGAGAATGCTCACAGTTGTTTGGTTCCACCATCAGGAACTTTTCCATGAAGATTTTTGATCGCAGACTGTGCTCCCTCTTCAGTCCCCATTTGAACGAATCCGAAGCCCTTGCTGTTCCCATTTTCATCTAAAGCGACTTTACACGAAACAACAAAACCATACTCTTTAAACAACTCCTCTAGCTCCGAACCACCAATCCATTCCTCCAAATTCTTCAATACAAGCAACCAAACACTATTAGCAATAGAGTAATCAATTCAAAATCTTCCCAGCTAACAAAAGCCCATGACGCAGTTATTCCCAAATAACTGAAAACCCATAAATCTTTGAATAAAAGACCCATCATTAATGAATAAAAATAAGGCATTTGAGGTAAGGCAGCTCCAAGAAATTATCAGAGTCATACTAGTTCCAAGGGAAAGAAATGGTATTCAGAAACTCAAAAACGACCCACGAAAGTATTCAAGCACACGTTAATGTAATGCAATAAAGAAAAGTAAACGTTAATGAATAAAAATATATTATCAGAAAAAACCCATCAGAAGCAATCAAGTTTGAAGAAAAACCATCAGTGTACGTACCTTGGTTTTCAATCTTTTTGCAAAAAACACCCAATTCCATAAATTTAATTCAAAATCCACCAAACACCAAAAGAACTTAATTCCCAAAAGAACAAAAAAAAACAAATTTTTTTTTTCCAAATTAATGGTAGCGACTACCTAATAACCAAGCACCGTCTATCAGTCTCAAGGCTAAACAAGTACTAATTTGATAAAGAAGCAGAGGTCCAGCACCCAAAACCCTAAGAAAATTTATCAATCCTTTTGTAAGAAGCATTGCATAAATGAATTAGAAACAGAGAAAGCCTAATTAAAAAAAATCCAAATATATCAAACTACAAACTAACCAGAGGGCAATGAACCAAATAATCAAAAGAACCAAAACCTAAAAAAGTGGACAAAGCAATATGAGAACACCCTACATACCCATTTTAGCCATGAATCCAAAGAGGAAAATGATACTACATTTTAAAGAATAAGACAAATTCAAAGAAAGAAAACAGAGATGTGGGTCTCGGACACTCGCTTTAAGAAAGGATACCCATCAATATTTTTGCATGTAAAAAGATTATATCGTAAATTCTAATAAAAACCCATCAATATTTTTGTAACCAGCACAAAAATACATGGGGTAGAAACAAATAATACCCACTAAACTTCGACCCAAAATGAATCAAATTACACCCTGAACAGAGACTCAAGGACCCCCCCAAAAATAACAAATAACCATCAAAATTTAAAACACAAAAATAACTTATAATGCAAGAAAAATGCTACTTCCATCAATCTAAAGATAAATTCAAATAAACAGAGATCAAATGTATTAGAAACAAAGAAACCAATAAAATTCAACCCAAAACGAATAAAACTACAAGCTGAACAGAGATCTACAGAACCCATCAAAAATAACAAATACCCAACAAAATTTAGACCCAAATAACCCAAGAAAATTACTCAAAAAATATAAGAAACAGAGAAATCACCTTCACAAAGAGATTCCCAACGCCAGTTCTCCTCGCCATCGGATCCCTCAACGACCACATTATCCTCATCGGCCTCCCCTTCAAGCTCCTGTGATTCATCACTGCCATCGCCCTCTCCGCTGCAAGGAAACCCCCAAAACAGAGTCACCAGAAAAAACTCAGAAGATAAAAATCGAGAAAAAGTACGAAAATGTGATCGATTCGCTTACCCATTGCCAAACTTGAGAAGTTGAGGTAAGCGCTAGCAGCATAGAGGACCCGGTGACGCGATTCCCTGCACAAAGCGAGGGCCGAGCTGGGTAGCCACGCCGGAAGCCCTTGACGCGGCGGCCGAGGTCGGACTCGCCGACGGCCGGGTCGAGAGTCTCGCCTACATAAGAGAGACGCCCACGCGCGAGCGGCGGATGGGGTCGTTCACCGCCCATTGTGCGGTGTTGCGATCACGCCGACGTAGCGCCCTTTTCCCCCCTCCTCTCTTTCTGTTCTCTTTTGAGAGGAGTTCCTGCGAGTGATGGTACTGAGAGCGGGAAGGCGTGGGGCCCACAGGGTTATTTTAGAGGGCGGGATATGCTAACCGCAACGGGGAGGAGACGGAGAGCGGAGCTTGCGTGGTGGTTTGAATTGTAATCGTTGGATTGGAATGGACGGCTGAGATTGTAGGAGAGCCTGGTGTCTGGTCACTCGCCGACGACTGTAATTGGTTATATTACCGCCCACTGTTTACTGCTCCTGAGAGGAGTGTCAGTGTACGGTTTGTAACGACCTTTTGCTTCGTTTTGGCAGCATCTTTTGATTTTTTAGGAGAATTTTGAAGTTCTACAAAAAAAGATAAAAAAATTAATCAATGAATTTATTTCTTTATTATAGGCTAAATACCTATATTTTAATTCCATTTCATTTACCAAGAAGTTATTTTAATTAGGCAAACCTGGTTTAAGACATTTTAATTGATTCAACTTACCAACAAAGCCATTTTTCTCGTCGGCGACCAGTTTTCCGACGATAGCTCGTCACGTACGTGACACGTGATGACTTGAACTGTTTTTTAGCTGCTGATGTGGCACGGATTTTCTGACGTGATAGTATTTAAAGGCGGGAATTAACCCTCTAAAAATCCCAATTCACCCAAAATAGGACAGATATGTGCCACATAAACAGCTAAAAAACAATTTAAGTCATCACGTGTCACGCACGTGATGAGCCATCGCCGGAAAACTGATCGCCGACGAGAAAAATGGTCTTGTTGGTAAGTTGAATCAATTAAAATGCCTTAAAGCATGTTTGCCTAATTAAAATACATTCTTGGTAAATGAAATGGAATTAAAATACCCCTTAAATCATGGGTATTTGTAAAGCTGCCCCCAAATCTTAGTATTTGCATACTACCCCTAAAATCATAAATTTTGAAAAAAAAAATACCCCCGAATTAATCAATCATCTACTTCGATAAGTCTATTTGTAACTGTAGTGTAAAAACTGTCAACGGATAAGTCAATTTTTGTTCATCAAGTTGATGATTTGTTGATTTTAGAGGTTTTCCCCCTCCAAATTGACAATTTGAGTGGTAGTTTAGCAAATACTAAGATCAGGGCCCAAATTTGAACATGGGAGCAGGGCCGGCCCCAGGGGCAGGCGGGAGAGGCCTGCGCCTAGGGCCCCCAAAAAACAGGGGCCCCCATGTAATTATATATATATATATATATGGAAATTGGAAAAGTAAGAGGATTTTTATGCAAAAGTGTTAGAGGCTATAAATACAAAAACGAAAAACCCTTGGTCTCTCCGATTTCCGAAGTGGCCGTCTGATCGCCGACCTCTCTTCTTCTTCTCTGATTCTCTCTGAAGTGACGTTTCTTCTTCCCGACTCCGTCCGGACCGTCTGCAGTCCGCTCCTCCGCCGTCAAACTCCACGACGCCGTCTCCGGCGACTCCCTCCGCCCCTCCCACCAGCAAGGCAAACGCGACCTCGCCGCCAGCGCCTTTGCCCTTTGGAGACTCTGTCTCTGTCTGCAATCTGCGCCTCCTCTGGCCGGCGACTCCGTCAAGGTTACAAGGTATATAAGTATATTTGAATAATTGAATATTTCTATAATTCTATACAGATAACAGACTATACTTAGAATAGCATAATATCTTTGTTTCATCACTTCATGACCTAATAATACCTTTGCTTTGTTATTGATTCTATACAGCACGAATCTGTGCATAACATTATTAACATACATGAATTAGTTGTATAAACAAAGTATGAATCTGTGCATAACATATATTATGAATCTGTGCATAACATATATGAAATTATGAATCAGACTATACTTAGTATATTTGCTGATTAGTGATTAATCAATTGAAACAAGAAACCATAATATGCATACAGGCTGTATAATCAAAGTGCGGTACCTGAACAATGAAAATCAGTAGCTAGTGATCCATACTTCAAATGATTGCATCGTGTCCCAAAAAAATCTTTAAGTCCAAACTTTGTTTTTGTCTATTGAATAGGAAGAAGAGATAAAAGTGCATCTTTTAGGATTCAGGCGTGTTGATCTGAAATTTGTTTGAAGTTAAACTATTCAAATTTTAAGGTAATTTTATAACTTTATAAATTATAATATTTGTTGATATTATGTATTTTAGTATTTGTATATAATTTTTTATGTAGGCATCCCTAAAGTTACTTAGGTGCAACACTTTATTTTTTTTAAAAAAATCTTGATTATAGGAGAGCCCCTTTAAGATTTTTGTTCAAGTTTTTGCCTAGGGCCCCCGAATGCTCAGGACCGGCCCTGACTAAGATGTGGGAAATTTTTTTGCAAATATCCATGACAAGGGGTATGCATATGCAAATAACCCTTAACAAATTTATTGCTTATAACTACATGTTATTTTATTGCAATTTGTATGTGAGAGAGAGAGAGAAAGAGATTTGATGCGTCATGACTACTATTTATTTAAAATTACAAATTTACCTCCCTGACATTTGTTCCATTTTTTTGTTACGTCCTCACTAGATCTACTCCTCTATACTTACATGAGGATCCAAAAATTCGCTATTTATGCTACGTTAATGCTACAATAAATTACGAAAGCCTTATTACTGCAACATTTAAAAAAGAATTATTGTAGCTCAAATAAAAAATAGGGGCGTACTTTGCATGGGCTGCACACTAGTGTATTATATAGTAGCATAGATTTGAAATAGAAATTCACAATAAAATTTTCTACTCTCTATTCTTTTGTCCTTTTCTCTTTCCTTCTTCTAGATAATCCCAAATTATTCTATGAAAATGAGAATGCAGCACATATAATTTAATATCAATTATATTTAGTTTAAAGGATATAAAGAGAAATTGAATTAATAATAATAATAATAATAATAAATACATCTATTTTTTAAAACATGATTCCATACTTAAATCTACTATGACTATACTACCGTATAAATAGAATAGTAAGTATAACAGAAAAATAATTGGAGAAAAGATGATATCAAGTTCAAAGAAAGACAATTTTTTCTTAAAAAACATCTTGCCCTCTCAACTTCTGTTATTAAATGCATTATCTATTTCCAAATAAAATTAAAATATGTTGCAAATTATTTAAAAAGTTAAAAAATATAGAAAGAAATAATTTTTTCTATCAAGTGTATTTGCACGTACAAGATTTCCATTTGCTGCACATATTTTCTTGGTACTAGAATCCTTAATTAGTTGTGTTTTTATGGTTGCAGAAGGTTTGGACTCTCTCTCTCTCTCTCTCTCTCTCTCTCCCACCCAATATATAGTCTGATTGCTACATTGAATTGAACAAACTAAGGAAAGATTAAATCAATCTATGGAGATGAGCAGCGCGAACAAATTGACGTGTGACTTGCTGGTTGAGATTCTCTCCCGACTGCCCGTCAAATCTCTGTACCGCTTCGCCTGTGTTTCGAAATCTTGGAACGCCATCATCACCAACAACAATGGTTACTACCGCAAGAAGCTACCCTCGCCCCTCCCCGGAGTCTTCTATGAGGTGGGCGACGAGTTCGATGAAGACTCGGTGTACGTCAGCACGCCAACCAATCACCTTCTGCAAGAGGATTCTATCGGCTTCGACATCAAATCTGTTCTCGGTTTCTTGCCTCAACATCACAAATTACTGGTGCAAAGCACTTGCAATGGCTTGATCTTGTGTTCTACTCGGCCTGACAAGTGCCTTTACGTATGCAATCCAGCCACCAAGAGATATCACAAGATACCTGAACCTGCAGATGACCATCCCTACCAAATGGCCTTAGCCTTTGATCCCCGTCTCTCCCCCCACTACAAGGTTGTCGCGATGATCAATAGACCAGACACCAATTATATGGAGATCCTGTCATCTGAGACCCGCGAGTGGGTAAAGTACGAGGACTGTAAGGGGCGGATTAATCATGCATATACCACTGTTTCAGCTTTTGTTCGTGGAAATTTGCATTTCTTGGACCTCTACGGCTCTTTCATACTGGCAGTGGATCTCAAGAAGAAGGTTTGTCGAGAAATAGAGACACCAAGTACTAAAGACCCCATACGGGCGGGATGCATTCAGCAATTTGGTGGAAGTTTGCGTTGCGCTCTGAGGACGAGAGAAGAAATATTTGTTTGGGATTTGGTGGATTACGATAATCTGCAATGGAGGTCGAGATATAGGGTCGACCTTCAAAGATTTATCGAGCAACCTCGACAGGGTTTATGGTTCTGGTTGCACATCAAAGTCAGCGCACTTCATCCAGATACGGATGTAATTTTCATAGTCATAGGTTATAAGCTCTTATCTTACAATTTGATTACTCGCGAGATCACCCAGGTATGCAAATTAAGGGGCATGGATCCGGTATATTTCTGTACCTACTCGCCATGCTATTCTGATCATCTCCATTAATAAGTGAGAAGAAGAGAAGCGTGAAGCTTGTCAGCGTAATTTCGATGATATTACTTTTTTTTTTCCCTTTCTGCTGCGACTTGTTAGATTTATACATAAAACGAAGGAATTACATTTGCTTCCGTACCTACTGGCCATGCTATTCTGAAGACCTCGAATTATAAAGTTGTAAGCATTGAAATTTGAAGAGATGGAGTCTACCGAAGCCACCGATGTTCTGTTTTCAGCTGTCGGTTTCGCCAAATTCCCTCCCGATTGAGAGATATCAGCGTTTTTGTCAGTTTTTTGGTATTTTAGGTAATGTTTTAGGAGTCTGTTTTGATTAGGAAACGAATCCGGTTTGATCCAAAATTTGACCGATTTGCTTTCTTAATCCTAGAGAGTCTTTGTAGGAAGAGTTTAGTTATTTCTATTTTTGGTAAAGTTTGAGTTATAATAGGAGTCGTGTTTTTTCTATTTAAGCAGAGTATTGTAAGCCCTAGAGGCATATCTTTTCATTAATAAAATTTCTCTTTTAATATTTTCTTCGAGGATTCGATATTTTTCGTGGATTAGGAGATCATTCTTTGTGGATTCAGAGAACACCCCTTGGTGGATTTGGAGATTATTACTATAACATTTAAAAAAGAATTGCTGCAGCATTTTAAAAAAGAATTACTGTAGCACAAACAAAAAAGGGGTCGTGCTTTGCACGAGGTGCACAACAGTTTATTATATAGTAGCATAGATTTGAGACAGAATTTCACAAGAAAAAATTCTACTCTCTGTTCTCTGTCCTTTTCTCTTTCTTTCTTCTAGATAATCCCAATTTATTCTATGTCATGAAAATGAGAATGCAACACACATATAATTTAATATCAATTATATTTAGTTTAAAGGATATAAAGAGAAATTGATGTCTCTTCGGAGACATCCGATAAAATTGGAAGAGAAATTGATGAATTTTCAATAATAATAATAATAATAAATACATCTATTTTTTAAAACAAGATTCCATACTCAAATCTACTATGACTATACTACCGTATAAAAAGAATAGTAAGTATGACGGAAAAATAATTGGAGAAACGATGATACCAAGTTCAAAGAAAGACAATTTTCTCTTAAAAAGCATCTTGCCCTCTCAACGTCTGTTATTAAAATGCATTATCTATTTCCAAATAAAATTAAAATATGTTGCAAATTATTTACAAAGTTTAAAAATATAGAAGAAAATATTTTTTTTATCAAGTGTATCTGTACGTACAATATTTCTATTTGCTGCACAAATTTTCTTGGTACTAGAATCCTTGGTTGTGTTTTTATGGTAGCAGAAGGTTTGGACTCTCTCTCTAGTCACCCCCACGGCCAATATATAGTCTGATTGCTATATTGAATTGAACAAACTAAGGAAAGATTAAATCAATCTATGGAGATGAGCAGCGCGAACAAATTGACGTGTGACTTGCTGGTTGAGATTCTCTCCCGACTGCCCGTCAAATCTCTGTACCGCTTCGCCTGTGTTTCGAAATCTTGGAACGCCATCATCACCAACAACAATGGTTACTACCGCAAGAAGCTACCCTCGCCCCTCTCCGGACTCTTCTATGAGGTGGGCGACGAGTTCGATGAAGACTCGGTGTACGTCAGCACGCCAACCAATCACCTGCAGCAAGAGGATTCTATCGGCTTCGACATCAAATCTGTTCTCGGTTTCTTGCCTCAACATCACAAATTACTGGTGCAAAGCTCTTGCAATGGCTTGATCTTGTGTTCTACTCGGCCTGACAAGTGCCTTTACGTATGCAATCCAGCCACCAAGAGATATCACAAGATACCTGAACCTGCAGATGACCATCCCTACCAAATGGCCTTAGCCTTTGATCCCCGTCTCTCCCCCCACTACAAGGTTGTCGCGATGATCAATAGAGGAGACGCCAATCATATGGCGATCCTGTCATCTGAGACCCGCGAGTGGGTAAAGTACGAGGACTGTAAGGGGCGGATTAATCTTGCATATACCACTGTTTCAGCTTTCGTTCGTGGAAATTTGCATTTCTTGGACCTCCACGGCTCTTTCATAGTGGCAGTGGATCTCAAGAAGAAGGTTTGTCGAGAAATAGAGACACCACGTACTAAAGACCCCATACGGATGGGATGCATTCAGCAATTTGGTGGAAGTTTGCGTTGCGCTCTGAGAACGAGAGGTGAAATATTAGTTTGGGATTTGGTGGATTACGATAAACTGCAATGGAGGTCGAGATATAGGGTCGACCTGCAAATATTTACCGAGCAACCTCGAGAGGATTGCTGGTTCTGGTTGCACATCGAAGTCCGGGCACTTCATCCAGATACGGATGTAATTTTCATAGTCATAGGTTATGAGCTCTTATCTTACAATTTGATTACTCGCGAGATCACCCAGGTATGCAAATTAAGGGGCATGGATCCGGTATATTTCTGTACCTACTCGCCGTGCTATTCTGATCATCTCCATTAATAAGTGCGAAGAAGAGAAGCGTGAAGCTTGTCAGCGTAATTTCGATGATATTACTTTTTTTTTTATTTTCTTTCTGCTGTGACTTGTTAGATTTATATGTAGAACGAAGGAATTCGATTTGCTTCCGTACCTACTGGCCATGCTATTCTGAAGACCTCGAATTATAAAGTTGTTAAGCATTGAAAAGTGAAGAGATGGAGTCTACCAAACCCACCGATGTTCCGTTTTCCGCTGTCGGTTTCGTCAAATTCCCTCCAGATTGAGAGATATCAGCGTTTTTGTCAGTTTTTTTGTATTTTAGGTAATGTTTTAGGAGGCTGTTTTGATTAGGAAACGAATCCGGTTTGATCCAAAATTTGACCGATTTGCTTTCTTAATCTTAGGGAGTCTTTGTAGGAAGAGTTTTGTTATTTCTATTTTTGGTAAAGTTTGAGTTATAGTAGGAGTCGTGTTTTTTTCTATTTAAGCATAGTATTGTAAGCCCTAGAGGCTAGAGACATATCTTTTCATCAATAAAATTTCTCCTTCAATATTTTCTTCGCGGATTCGAAATTTTTCGTGGATTCGAAGATCATTCTTTGTGGATTCAGAGAACACTCCTTGGTAGATTTTAAGGTAGATTTTAAGATTATCACTTCTGCGCTACGTTAACTAAAGTATAAATAGAATAGTAAGTATAACAGAAAAATAATTGGAGAAAAGGTGATACCAAGTTCAAAGAAAAACAGATTTTTCTTAAAAAACATCTTGCCCTCTCAACGTCTGTTATTAAATGCATTATCTATTTCCAAATAAAATTAAAATATGTTGCAAGTTATTTACAAAATTTAAAAATATAGGAAAAAATAATTATTTCTATCAAATGTATTTGCACGTACAAGATTTCTAGTGAATATTAATCATGACTTTTATTTGCTGCACATATTTTCTTGGTACTAGAATCCTTGGTTGTGTTTTTATGGTAGCAGAAGGTTTGGACTCTCTCTCTCACCCCCACCCAATATATGGTCTGATTGCTATATTGAATTGAACAAACTAAGGAAAGATTAAATCAATCTATGGAGATGAGCAGCGCGAACAAATTGACGTGTGACTTGCTGGTTGAGATTCTCTCTCGACTGCCCGTCAAATCTCTGTACCGCTTCGCCTGTGTTTCGAATTCTTGGAACGCCATCATCACCAACAACAATGGTTACTACCGCAAGAAGCTACCCTCGCCCCTCTCCGGACTCTTCTATGAGGTGGGCGACGAGTTCTATGAAGACTCGGTGTACGTCAGCACGCCAACCAAACACCTGCAGCAAGAGGATTCTATGGGCTTCGACATCAAATCTGTTCTCGGTTTCTTGCCTCAACATCGCAAATTACTGGTGCGAAGCTCTTGCAACGGCTTGATCTTGTGTTATACTCGGCCTGACATGTGCCTTTACGTATGCTATCCAGCCACCAAGAGACATCACAAGATACCTACTCGCGGTGCTATTCTGATCATCTCCATTAATAAGTGAGAAGAAGAGAAGCGTGACGCTTGTCAGCGATGATATCACTTTTTTCTTTTCTTTCTGCTGCGACTTGTTAGATTTATATATAGAACGAAGGAATTCGATTTGCTTATGTACCTACTCGCCATGCTATTCTGAAGACCTCGAATTATTAAGTTGTGAGCATTGAAAAGTGAAGTTTGAGGGCATAATGTTGTCACTGGACAGAATGTAATTTATCAAATGATGATACAGAAAGATTAATGAAGTCTATGCCCACAATTTTGTTTTATTAAATCATCAGATTATGCCAGATAATTTTTTTAAGAGAGAAAGTGTGAGGCCAAAACTCCCCAGCGTTTCATTAAAAAAGAGAGTAATGAAACAAGATTGAAAAGTTAAAAACTTAGTTTCGAGTACTTTTTTATGTATGATACCGATTAGATTGAAAAAAAATACAAGAGGGGTATATGATATGCTAGGCTATTCCTTGCAAATGATGATGCAGAATAATTCAGAAAGATGACTGTTTGCGGAAAAAGTTGCTGTATTCATTGCTGCATTCATTACAACTTTGATCGTTACAATGAAATAAAAAGGTAGTCTTTTTATAAGACCGGTACACAATGAAAACAAAAGAAATACAACTCTTTTCAAACAAACGCAAGATCTGTTCATCATCTCTTGCTTGCGTGGGTCTTTTGCCTGTGACGGGGATGTTGATATCCGTGGACCACCGGGGCACTCAGATCTGGTCTGGATAAATCGGACAGAGTTTCGTTGATCCGCGTGAGATCTAGAAACTTTCTGATCCGGATAAATCGGACAGAGCTTCGTCTATCCGCGAAGGGATATAGAAGCAGAGCTTCGTCGATCCGCGTGAGATCTAGAAGCTATAAGCGTATACCTCGGCTAAAGCGAGGTAATAGCTCTTCTTAGTATCAACGCTAAGGCCAATACTAAGGATCTGACGGGCGATGAAGGCTGATGTAGACCACTCCTCCTCTCGTTGAAGCACACGGGCACTCTTCACTGCAGCAGGGCTTCGCCAAGGCTCTCCAAAAATCCCCCCTCAAATCAAGGCACCAAGGGGGGCTATTTATAGCATTTAGAGGGGTCTAGGGGGGTCTAGGGACCACTAGGGGGCGTGGACACCCCCTGGTGTCTCGGCCATGGCCGAGACACTAGGGTTTTGAACCGCGTAGGTTGGCTTTTGTCGTCACGTGTTGACTTTCGTCGTCACGTGTTGACTTTTGTCGCAACGCGCTGTCCGGCGTTGACCTAAGGTTACGCGTTGACCGGCGTCCACCTTAGGGTTTTGAACCGCGTAGGTTGGCTTTTGTCGTCACGTGTTGACTTTCGTCGTCACGTGTTGACTTTTGTCGCAACGCGCTGTCCGGCGTTGACCTAAGGTTACGCGTTGACCGGCGTCCACCTTAGGGTTTTTGAACCGCGTAGGTTGGCTTTTGTCGTCACGTGTTGACTTTCGTCGTCACGTGTTGACTTTTGTCGCAACGCGCTGTCCGGCGTTGACCTAAGGTTACGCGTTGACCGGCGCCCACCTTAGGGTTTTGGTTGGCTTTTGTCGTCACGTGTTGACTTTCGTCGTCACGTGTTGACTTTTGTCGCAACGCGCTGTCCGGCGTTGACCTAAGGTTACGCGTTGACCGGCGTCCACCTTAGGGTTTTGAACCGCGTAGGTTGGCTTTTGTCGTCACGTGTTGACTTTCGTCGTCACGTGTTGACTTTTGTCGCAACGCGCTGTCCGGCGCTGACCTAAGGTTACGCATTGACCGGTGTCCACCTTAGGGTTTTGAACCGCATAGGTTGGCTTCTGTCGTCACGTGTTGGCTTTTGTCGTCACGTGTTGACTTTTCGTCGTCACGTGTTGACTTTTGTCGCAACGCGCTGTCCGGCGTTGACCTAAGGTTACGCGTTGACCGGCGTCCACCCTAGGGTTTCGAATTGTCGAACGTTGACTTTTGTCGCAACGCGTTGCTTGGCGTTGACCTGGGGTTACGCGTTGACCGGCGTTGACCCCTAGGGTTTCAAATCGTCGAACGTTGACTTTCGCTTGCAACGCGTTGACTGGCGTTGACCTAAGGTTACGCGTTGACCGGCGTCCACCCTAGGGTTTCGAATCGTCGAACGTTGACTTTTGTTGCAACGCGTTGCTTGGCGTTGACCTAGGGTTACGCGTTGACCGGCGTTGACCCTAGGGTTTACGGATCGCCATTAACACAGTTTATACTCGTACGTTTGCTGGAGTATACACAGTTTAAGCTCTTAAGGTATTGGAGCATCGCGGTCCCGAATGTTGGGGTTGCAGGACCAACTGTTAAAGTTGATTCATCTGCATGTGTGGATTTTATCCTGAATTTGTTGGGTGCTCAAGTCACGAGACCAACTAGGGGAGTTGATGCGTCAATGACTCGCAGTTATAGAATTTTTGGCAAATCCTCAGCCATCAACGGATTTGATTAGCCTTTACCGACTACCGTTTGAGTCGGGCTAGCATGCGGATTGTTTAAGTCCGTTCCGCATGTGACGTTGTGCTAAGAGAGTTAACGCTCTTAGTGCTACGATATTGAATACGTAGACTTCGTCTTTCTCACGGGAATAGACTACCCGGCGACGCGTGTTAGGCGTTGACTTTAGGATTTTTGGCTAATCCCCAGCCTTCAACGGATTTGATTAGCCTTTACCGACTACCGTTTGAGTCGGGCTAGCATGCGGATTGTTTAAGTCCGCTCCTATGTGACGTTTAAGCTAAAAGAGTTAACCCTTTTAGTGCTACGATATTGAATACGTAGACTTCGTCTTTCTCACGGGAATAGACTACCCGGCAACGCGTGTTAGGCGCTGACTTATCCTTACTTAGGATTCAGGATAAAATTCCCCGTGCGTGTGAGGCACGGATTATGGTGTTATTAATAACAACCTGCCACAATGTTGAATATGTGGTCTTTTGTCCTTTTTACGGTCAAAGACTAACCGGCCATGTGTGTTAGACATAGGCTTTGGGATTTTTGGCAAACCCCCAGCCATCAACGGGTTTGATGTGCCTTTACCGATTACCGTTTGAATCGGGCTAGCATGTGAATTATTAAACCCGTTTCACATGTGACGTTGTGCTAAGAGAATTGCTTCCCTTAGACTTAATGCTATGATTTTGATTACATAGACTTCGTCTTTCTCACGGGAATAGACTACCCGGCAACGCGTGTTAGGCGTTGACTTATCCCTACTCAGGCTTCGGGATAAAATTCCCCGTGCATCGAGTGCCCGGATTTGACAATCGTGTCTTTTCTAAAAGCAAAGACAGATTGAGAAACGGGAGAGGAAGAATTTTATATTCTATCTCCCGGTGCTGAAGAGGAAGAATTTTATATTCTATCTTCGGCCGGAAAGGGAACTTGAGGTGGGATCCCCCACCCCCAGAATCCGGAATGATGAACTGGGAGTGGGTTCTCCACTCCGAGCATCGGAAAGGTCCGAGGAGAGGAAGAATTTTATATTCTATCTCCCGGTGCTGAAGAGGAAGAATTTTATATTCTATCTACAGCTGGAAAGGAAACTCGAGGTGGGATCTCCACCCCCAGAATCCGGAAGGATGAAACTAAGAGTGGGATCTCCACTCCGAGAATCGTAACAATTCGGATAACCCTAACTGTCGGAAGGTTTGATTACCCGATTTGGAAGTGGACCTCTCGTTCATTGGGGGAATCGAGAGGAGATTTTGGCTGTGGCCCTAACTGTATGAATGTTTGACCAAGCAGGAGTTTGAGACGACCTAACTGTCGGAAGGTTTGATCGCTCGATTTGAAGGTGGACCTCTCGTTCATTGGAGGAATCGAGAGGGGATTTTGGCTTTGGCCCTAACTTTTATAGGTTTGACCAGAACGCAAAGAGAGTGGAATACGGGTAGCAAAGAAAGTGCCAACTCGTGTCATCACTCAAAGGGAGATTTTAACGCTAGGCGTTTAGGACCTAGCATGTTAAATCTGAGAAATGCCAATGACTGGCAGATGGAAATGTTGGTGGGTCCACTGTCGTTTGATTTGATCAGCGGATGGTTTGGTGAGGAAAGATTAACCTACCAGAAGATTGGATCTCTTCTCACAAAAATAACTCATAAGAGTTAGGGAATAAGAAGGGACATTCTGACTTTTAGAGTTTGAATGTGAATTTCTTGTTCACCAATTCCACAATGATTGGGTTATCCCTAAGAATACCCATGTGGTATTCTTCCGGGAACTTCCCGATGCATTGGATTATCCACCCCCAGCTTCTCTCTTGGAACTGGGTTTGATTTTGTTGTCCGACCGGGTTATCCTTAAGAATATTAGTGTAATATCCTCCAGGAACTTCCCGTCAATGGTAGGAAATAGTTTAGACTCATATACCTGTTGGAGTATCAGGGAGCAGTTTAACCTCTTATACCGGTCGGAGGATTGAGAAACAGTTTATACTCGTATACTCATCGGAGTGTTGAGAAGCAGTTTATACTCTTATACTTATCGGAGTATCGAGGAACAGTTTATACTCTTGTACTCTTTGGAGTATTGAGGAACAGTTTATACTCTTGTACTCTTTGGAGTATTGAGGAACAGTTTATACTCTTGTACTCTTTGGAGTATTGAGGAACAGTTTATACTCTTGTACTCTTTGGAGTATTGAGGAACAGTTTATACTCTTGTACTCTTTGGAGTATTGCCGTTTTCAATTGGCTTACCCTAGCGTTATAACGCCGGCTTCAACCAAGGTCTGGATGTTATTCTTGAGAGCAAAGCATTCCTTGGTGGGGTGGAGGATCCTTCTGTGGTACTCGCAGTACGTTGGATCCGCAGAATCGCCATCTTCCTCTTGATGCGTGATGGGCGGGAGTTTGATTTTGTTGTTTTCGAGAAGGGTCTCGAAAATAGCTGGAACGTCTTCGTCTTTGAACGAGTACTCGTTTTGGAGCTCCTCGTCTGAATTCTCCTGTTGTTCCCAGGACTGCTGTTGTGACGTTTGATCGTCGTCAACAACCGTTGCAGGTACGTCCTCTTCATCATGAGGTACGAGATCCGAATCCAGAGGGTTAACCATCGGTTGGTTTCTCTCGACCTTTTGGAGTTCCTCGTCCGAATTCTCCTGTTGTTCCCAGGACTGCTGTTGTGACGTTTGATTATCGTCAATGACAGCTGTAGGCGCATCCCCTTCCTCATGAGGTACGAGATCCGAATCCAGAGGGTTAACTATCGGTTGGTTTCTCTCGACCTTTCGCCTTCTGATGAAGCGTTCAGCCTGTTCTCCTCGAGCCTTCAACTCTTTCCAGGTATTGAGCGGCTCTATTCCCATCACGTCCAAGATGTCAATGGACAAGTTGTTCTGACAAGTCTGCAAGAGGAATTCCTCCGTGACGGGATCCCTGCAGTTCATTGCCTGATTGCGGAAGCGTTTGATGAAGGTATCCACCGACTCTCCGCCTTTTTGTTTCTCGTCGAAGAGTGTCCTGATCGACACCTCGGTGTCATCATCGAAGAAATGGGCGAGAAACATGCTTTCCAAGTCCTCCCAGCTGTTGATGCTTCCGGGCTTGAGACGGCGGTACCAATCGAAGGCGGGCCCGCGAAGGGTGCCAACGAATGACCGAACCATCAAAGGCTCGTTGCCCGAGATTACTCCCAAGTGGGACTTAAAGTAGATCAGGTGTTGAGTGGGCGAGCCCTTCCCGTTGAACGGCGTGAAGTTGATTAGGTTGAACTTTGCCGGATATGGGATCGAGTCCCACTCTTTCGGGTAAGGGCACGGAATGCCGGTCCTCTTCACCTCTCGAGTAGATATCAGGGCTTCGATTTTTCTTTCGAGCTCTTTCATCTTTTCGGCCTCACCCATATCCTGTTTTGGACGATTTCCAAGAGGAATAAGACGACCACCCCCAGTGTTGTCATTACTGGTGGGTCCACCCCCAGCGTTATTATCTGTAGTGGGGCCACCCCCAGTATTCTTGGGCGGTGCATCGGCCATGACGATTTCAACCACCTCCGGATTGCTGCCAACTGCGGCGTTCTGGATGCGATGGCTGGATTCCACTAGCTGTTTTGACAAAGCTCGGATTCGTTGATCGTGCATTTGTCTCATCCCTTGCATAGCCATTTCCATTTCGAACTTGAAGATTTCCTTCTGCTTAGTCAGGGCCTCTTCAATGATTTTGGCTATCTGCTCGGTGTTGGCCATGAACACCTCTCGAGCTTGCCCTATGCTAGACGTTGTATCGTCAGAGGCGAGCGCGGAATGAGAATCTGAGGATTCATCATCGGAAAGGACTCCTTCATGGATCCCACGATCGTTGTTATATCTGTCGGCTTCTGGCCGAAGTTGAGCTATTCCCGAATCGACCCTGCTTCCTGGAGAGGAATTAGGGTCGGAACCACCTGAAATGATTGGGGACTTTCCCTTGTTGACCATGTTGATAGTCACTTCTAGGGGTTCATCGTCTCGAGCAATCGATCCTCTTTGGTGGGAACGCCTTGACTTGGGCTTTGTCGGTCCATCGGAGATTCCCTCGAATATCGAGACCCTCTGTGGAGCGGTCTTGGGGCAGCTACAAGCTGATAATACTGCCCTGATAAGTTTGGTACACGGACAGTGAGAATCCGCTTCCCGGGTGTTTCCCTTTCGAGATTCATCCGCACCCCCAGCCCGATAGTACAACTCATCGACGTTGCCGTCGGAGTAACCTATCGGCTGCTCACATGGGTTCTCAGGTATAACGCGTTCGTCTGTCCGAAGCGTCTTCTTCTGAGTAAACACTACCTTGTTGGCCTCTGCAAGAGTCGCACGTTTGGAATCACTCTTTTGTGAGGGTGAAACCTTAACGGGCTCTTGGTCCTTTGCACGCACCGCCGAGCTGGTTGTTGCAAAGATCGATTTGTTAGGAGATTGCGCACGACCCCCAGTCTGGATGTTGGCTTGAAGCTCCTTCAGCGATCCCCAGCTTCCCTTGACAAGCGTTTTTCCTCGATTCTCGGGTAGAGCATCGATACGGTTGTTCAGAGGATTCCTAGACTTGGGGAAATCCACGCTGCGGTGGGGCTTTACCGAAGGTTCGGGACCTGAAATGGACGAAGGTTGGAGAGCAATATTACCTGCTTTTACCTTAGGCGTTGATTCGGCCTTTGGCATCCAAACTCGTTCGGACCTCGGCGATCTCTTAACGGCCTCTCCCTTTAGCATTTCTCGTGCTTTTTGGACCAGGGCTCGGGCATGCGCACGCAAGGCGCGGCGCTTCTGGATTCGCTCCTCGAGAGTAGAACGGGTTCTTTTGACTTGAACCCATTTGTTCGTTTCTTCTTCGGAGGAGGGGCTGGTTGTTTGCCGTGGTTGCTCCTGGCGTTGCCTGGATTTTAGATCCATGTTATAGCGGATCCCATCCATTGGCTCCAATGCCTCGGCCAGCTGTCGAGCAAGACGTTGACGCTGTCTTTGTCGTGCTCTCTTTGATAATGCCGGAGCGTCTTCAGAAGTCATCTCCTCGGCGGAAGAGGAATCCGGATCTGCGATCTCGACCAGGTTGGACGACGTGGGGACGTCGCGTGGTGCAAGTGCAGAGGCGGCAACGGGGTCTTGGATTTTTGAACCGAAGGACCTGCAATCATTTATGAAAGAGGTTACCTTTCTGTACCCGTTTGGAGAGGCGGATCTGGAGGAGGAGGAAGAGAGGCCTTCTTTGAACCGTTGTTGATCGAGCTCGTGTTCTTCATTCACCCCGATCTTGAGTGCTGGTTGCGTCACGACGGCGTCGGTTGCGATGCCGTTGGCTCCCACTGTGGTCGCCAGTCTGTTTGCGGAAAAAGTTGCTGTATTCATTGCTGCATTCATTACAACTTCAATCGTTACAATGAAATAAAAAGATAGCCTTTTTATAAGACCGGTACACAATGAAAACAAAATAGATACAACTCTTTTCAAACAAACGCAAGATCTGTTTGTCATCTCTTGCTTGCGTGGGTCTTTTGCCTGTGACGGGGATGTTGATATCCGTGGACCACCGGGGCACTCAGATCTGGTCCGGATAAATCGGACAGAGTTTCGTTGATCCGCGTGAGATCTAGAAACTTTCTGATCCGGATAAATCGGACAGAGCTTCGTCTATCCGCGGAGGGATATAGAAGCAGAGCTTCGTCGATCCGCGTGAGATCTAGAAGCTATAAGCGTATACCTCGGCTAAAGCGAGGTAATAGCTCTTCTTAGTATCAACGCTAAGGCCAATACTAAGGATCTGACGGGCGATGAAGGCTGATGTAGACCACTCCTCTTCTCGTTGAAGCACACGGGCACTCTTCACTGCAGCAGGGCTTCGCCAAGGCTCTCCAAAAATCCCCCCTCAAACAAAGGCACTAGGGGTCTATTTATATGGCCGAGACACCCCAGGGGTGTCTAGGCTTTTCCTAGACACCCCCGGGGTATTTCGACACGCCGGGACTCCGTTTGAGGTGTTTCAGTTGTTTCCCCTGTAGATTCTTCGTCCGTACTCGGATTTGAGTGATTCCGGGTGCGTTGGATGCGTGATGAAGAGTTCAATCCACTCTGGTGGTTGGATTGTCCTTAGAGTGGTCGAGGCATGAAGGGCGTTGTCCTATTTGTGAACAGTGTCGGGCTTCCCGATTGGTCCGGGTCTTCGTGATTCCGAAGTCCTATCCGCTCATATAACTCGTCGATTCACTTCAGTCGTTTGTCGACGTCGATTAGGCTCATGTGGATTGGATGGTGACGTTCATCGTCGCTCGTTAACACTGAACCGGTTGTGGAGAACTATAGGCAATTTTTGATGCCTACAATGACATCCACGAATAAATGAGCATCATTATGAGATGAGAAATTGGGAAATATAACTCACAATTTTCTAAAAGATACAATAAGAAATGAGTAAGAAGAAATTAATGATAAGCTTCAACTAATAAAACAAATGATAATACTAAACATAGATAGAGGCAGGAAAAAGGATAATACTAGTCATAAAATTAGTAATAGAGGAGATTGCTAACAACAGAGTTTAATCAAAATGAAAGCTAGTTATAAAGATGCCAATATTCTGAATCAAGGCTCAGTCTTTGTTCCGCTGACTTGATCACCAACAGACTTCGTTTGCACTCTCAGGTTTCAGATGATATAGCAAGCTCCTAATATTTTATATTGTTTGTAAAACCTAATTTACATGGAGTAGACAAAGTAATGGGATCTAGAATTGGATCCCTATAGTCACCTCTACTGAAATATAGATTGGGGCATGGGAGTTTGCCTGTAATCGCTATTGATTATTAGTAGAATCATGACCTAATTATAGGTATTACACCAAGAAAATGGACATATGTAATGACATTGATTGCTAAACCTCATTAAATTCATGTGTTTCTGTAGTTGTTTTCTCTTGGTTTCCTTCTTTCCATCGTGTTGCTAACACTAACCACCACCGGCGCACTAATAAGGGAACTTCTATAGTTCTTCATCGCCACAATGGCTAGCGTGCCATGGCATAAAAATAACTTTAATTCATAATTTAAGAACCCTTGCCATATTATTATATGATACAAACACTTTGATGCATATCCTTGTATATCTGAACAGTTAAACATATTACACAAGCAAACTTTTCAACATCACACAGCCCCTGGCAAATCCACATTAATCTTGGCTTCCACATAATTGTATAATGAAATGTAATATGTCCTCTGTATTTCATCTCAATTCAACTACTGCCTGAACTGATATGAACATCAATGTAGTCATCTGTTGAATGCTGGCATGAAATATACAACCAACACTTTTATCAAAATTAAATAACGATATATCCTTTTTAGTGAAGGAAGCCAATATCTCCTTCGACTTAAGGGGCCTTGAAAGCTTCAAAGCATCAGCAAAATTCAACTTGACCTTCTCAGGGGCATTAACATCTTCACAATCAAGATTTGTCACTAAAATTAATCAAGTAATCCTCAGAGATCATTCTCATGTGCCCCTGAGAAGTTCCAACATCACTCGCACATCGCGGAGCCAAATTCTCTTCAACTTCTATCTCGATGTTCGTTATTCTTTGCACATCCGAAGATGGGCTTGAAGAGATACTCTCAAATGAATTCCTTCTTGTGTTCATGTCTTCAAAGAAGCAATAATATACAGATGCGCTTCTCATATAATATTCATAAATTGGAATGACTCTGTTTCAATTGTTGTCATTTCCAAGTACAAGCTTTGATTTCCTCAAACTGCTATTCTTTGTTGATGAGGAGGCAGCAATTGAAGCATCACTGCGCTCTTCACTCAATGTTTGTGAAGAAGATGAGTCAAAATCAAAATGACTAATCTTAGCATTACACCACAAAGGTTCTTACACGATACTAAAGCCAAAAAGTAAACCCTTACACAACTAGTCAGAAACACAGTGAACAAGCTCTCATTAATGCTATATACAGCACAGTAATCATGCAATGCCAAAGTTCCCATCAACAAACAGAGATTCTTATACAATCAATGGTAGTAAACAATGAATAGTCAGATACCACTCCTCTCAACCACATTTAGGGTGTGTTTGACAACCGAAAAGTGAGAGGGTGTCATGTCATCTTCAAAGTCCCTTTCACTTTCTCCAAAATTTTTAGAAAGTTCATGGAAAGTGGTGAGGGAGGAGAGATTTGCTTTTTTTTATTAATTTTTACAGCCTATTCATTTTCCAAATTTGTTCAACTATTTTTTATTTTCAAATCCAGTCACCTTGGATGTAGTCTTCATGTCTCTACTTCCTCGGTGTGGACAGGTCCCTTTTTTCAGTTGAACTTCATGCTAATTTATTTAAAATTGGATTAGTTATTTCTTGTTTTTGAAGGATCATATCAAATTTTAATCTTTAGTGCTTTCTGGTGTTGGCTTGTGTGTAATGTAGGATCATGATTTATAATGTTAATATTTGTGACGATTTATTTAGAAGAACTAAAATCTTTAAAACCTTCTTGATAATGTGAAATACTTCCATCAAAGAAGAAATAATCTGTGAATTACTATGAAGTAGGAATCTTTTATGTAACACATTTGCAATCCCCATTAGTCTAGCTTTAGGTCCTATATTGTTTTCAAAACATGTTCTTGTTTTCTTCATTTTGGAATGTTCAGACCTGATGAAATTTAAAAATACATATATACTAGTTTAATCAGTTTCTCGTAAAGATCAAGATCTACCACTCCTCTCATGATCATTTAGGTGACATTAAAATCACCAAAAACAAGCCAGGACATTGGAAAATATTTCTGGTTCCGCGTAATTCCAACCAATGAACATTTGCATCCTCCTTAAATTAGACACAAGAAAAACATGGAGTCAATAACTCCAATCCAATTCCCTGAACGTCATTGAGACATCCTCCAAGATCTCAATAGGGATCATACCCACATTCAGGCACAGGAAGCCAAAATTTTGGAGATCTTGGACATCTAGCTCAGACATTCCAATTGTAAAATCTCAACTTTGTATTTCTGATGACAAAGTTTGAGTGACCAATTCCTTTGCAAATATGACAAACAAGCAATCATTCTACAATAATTTGTGCAGAACAGCAGGTCTTTTTCAGTTATTTTTTTTTGTTTGCAATATCACAGTAAGGAGCCTTCTGAAGACTAAATCATATTTAAGTTAAGTATTAATGTTCAGGTAAGCAGTTAAGACATAGAAGCTAATAATAAGTCTCTGATATAGAGCATTCATCATAAGTTAGAATTTAGATTATAGGTTAAAGACAAGTGTGACGAAAAGCATATGTGGCTGCTGTCAATACATGTACCGTAGTTATTGAGTTAGAAAACAATTATTCCTACCTTTTGGATTGTTTTTTATTTTGGTTCTTTCTTCCTTTGCTGGAGGTAAATATATGAATTTATAGTTTAACCATAGGTTTTTCCTAGGCGACTCACCCACTGGGATAAGGACATAACTGGGTAGGAGACGGCTGGGAAGAATTTAATAAAGACTGGAAAGAGCTTGACAAATCTGTTTGACATTGAAAATGAATTCAACCTCTGAGAGGCAATGATATTATTTATTTTATCTATAGAATTCCTTTTTCTTCCTACATGTATATCAACGCTAAGAGTTATTTGCAATATACCCTAAAACTTTGTACCCCAAGTTTTTTTTTTCCTGATGCCCCTCTTAACATTACGACATTAAGAAAAAAGGAGCTCCAAGTGTCAAAAAAAACTTTTGGATATCGAAGCTAAAGGTCACAACTTTAGGGTACATAAGTGAGAATAACCCAAATTTATATTGATGTAGATTTTATGACATCCAATTCATTGCATGAATACTTTGAGAATTTTGAGTGGGCTGACTTAAGTGGACAAGGAGAGCATCCTGAATTAGTGTGAGAATTTAATCAGATTGCAGTTGGATGTCCCAATGGATGTATGATTTTTTTTCTAGAATTTTTTGTTTTTTGAATATTGTTATGATAAATATTTTAATGGTAATAAAATTCAGGCAAATAATAGGATGTCTCAGAAACTAAATGAATTAAAAATTTCTTCAGATACCATGTTGGATGATTGAGGTAAAACATGACTCAATTCACGATGAGGAAAGGCTGGGTTTTCTAAAAGATGCTATGGGAAAGATTGGTGAAGGGAACCTCCCAGACTGCGATTTTATCTTCGTAAAAAGTCCTGTTGAACTCTTCTAAATCTTGGTAATCCTTTCTCATGGCCTATGGAATTTTCCTGGGTTTTATTTGGTGCTTTTTAATGGAGACTAGCTCGCATATATCAGCTCAACTCAACTAAATTGTATATGCAAATAACTTCATTACTAATCACTACAATTAGTTATCATGTCATAATACCATTTTCAACACCTATGACCATGTTATTAGACCTGATCTCAACGGAACAAAGAGTAGCATAATCTGAGAAAGAGAATTTGTTCCTATTGGTACATGCGTAGAACCGACTCTTTCTTTTACTTTTTCCTCTCTCTCTCTCTGTATTAGAATCCAACTCCATATAGTTGGTTTAGTCAATGTAATTGGTACTTAGTGTAATAGACAACTATGAATATTGTACACTCTTGATAGTTTGTCCCAACATCTGATGTAATTGAGGGACATGTATGTAAAAATTTGAATGTAATTGGTAATAGACAGCTATGAATATAGTTGCCTTTTATTAGTTTTTCTAACATTATGCTGGATATGGACCACTAATAGAAATAAGCACTAATATTTCTATAGCTACTTGTGCTATAGTGTTGGCCTCCAATTTACATTCATATTTTATCAAAGTAAAACAGAGTTATGTTTAAACATCTAGACATGAATAAGTACATCCTAAACTGGTTCTCTTATTTTCTCCTTTGGCGGCGTTTATTATGAGAATTTCTCAACTTTAGAAGCTTCACAACTTTAGACAAAGAGACTTTTAGCTTCGATCATTTTAACTCTTTATGTTGTTTCTCTTAGTTCTGTTTGAATAAAATACTGCGCATTATCATTTCTGGACTAGGTTTATGGGAGTCTTCCTTTTATTTGGGAGTATAAGGTGCTTAAAATTTTCTTTTGAAAGCCTTAGTATTACACCCGTCTTGATTTATACATCTTTGCTTTGCGTAGTATAGTTTGGCTCTGTTTGTGTTACTGTCTGTATTTCTTAGTTGTGCATTTCTTGGTTACTGTTTGTCTTATTTTCACACCTTTTTGTCTCTCTCGAGCTATCAGTCTTGACACCCAATTTTGCAGGTACCCAACAGGTTGCAGCAGCTGCATTATTTTTTAATTCTTACCATCAGGATTCGAAGAGGTATACTCGAATAACTGATCCAGGTTATTGGAAGAGGTCGGAGAGATTAAATGATGTCAAGGCTGATGGCTTTCGATTCGATTACACCTATGAGCTGAGGGAGGAAAGTTATCAACAGAGAACATTGGGCTTACATGAGTATTGTCTACAAAAGAGCAGAAGAATAACAAATTCTCATTGTGCTACATATATCAAAAAAAATAGAAAAGAGTACTAGTTGATGAGATTGTTCCATGAGTGAGTTTTCAACTAGTCATTTGTACAGAGTTAGTTTTTGACTATTCATTGTACATAATTCTGGTACAATAACTTTTTTACTGTACAGATTTAGTTTCTGACTATTCATTGTTTACTACCATTGATTGCATGTATATATATACAGCACCCCCAATTTTCCCATCAACAAACAGAGATTCTTATACAATCACTGATAGTAAACAATGAATAGTCAGAAACTAACTATGTACAGTAAAAAGTTATTGTACCAGAATTATGTACAATGAATAGTCAAGACCTAACTCTGTACAAATGACTAGTTGCAAACTCACTCATGGAACAATATCATCAACTACTACTCTTTTCTCCTTTTTATGATATATGTAGCACAATGAGAATTTGTTATTCTTCCGCTCCTTTTGTAAACAGTACTCATGTAAGTCAATGTTCTCTGTTAAGAACTTTCCTCCTTCAGCTCATAGGTGTAATCGAATCGAAAGCTATCAGGCTTGACATCATTTAATCTCCCTGCCCTCTTCCAATAACCTGGATCAGTTATTCGAGTATACCTCTTCGAATCATGAGGGTAAGAATTGAAAAACAGTGCAACTGCTGCAACCTGCTGGGTACCTGCCAAATTGGGTGTCAAGATTGATAGCTCGAGAGAGACAAAAAGGTGTGAAATAAATAAGACAAACAATAACCAAGAAATGCACAACTAAGAACTTTCCTCCCACAGCTCATGTGTAATCGAATCGAAAGCAATCAGGCTTGACATCACTTAATCTCCCCGACCTCTTCCAATAACCTGGATCAGTAATTCGAGTATACCTCTTCAAATCCTGAGGGTAAGAACTGAAAAACAAGGTAACTGTTGTAACCTGCTGGGTACCTGCAGAATTGGGTGTCAAGACTAATAGCTTGAGAGAGACAAAAAGGTGTGAAAAAAATAAGACAAAACAGTAACTAAGAAATGCACAACTAAGAAATGCAGACAGTAACACAAGCAGAGCCAAATTATACAACGCTAAGCAAAGATGTATAAATCAAGACGGGTGTAATACAGAGGCTTTCAAAAGAAAATTTCAAGCACCTTATACTCCCAAATAAAAGAAAAACTCCCATAAACCTAGTCTAGAAATGATAATGCACAGTATCTTATTCAAACAGAACTAAGGGAAACAACATAAAGAGTTAAAACGATCGAAGCTAAAAGTCTCTTTGTCTAAAGTTGTGAAGCTTCTAAAGTTGAGAAATTCTCATAATAAACGCTGCCAAATGAGAAAATAAGGGAACCAGTTTAGGATGTACTTATTCATGTCTAGATACCCAAACATAACTTTGTTTTACTTTGATAAATATGAATGTAAATTGGAGGCCAACACTATAGCACAAGGATTTAGAAGTAGTTTAACAGGACTTTTTAGGAAGATAAAATCCCAATCTGGGAGGTTCCCTTCACTAATCATTCCCATAGCATCTTTTAGAAAACCCAGCCTTTCCTCATCGTGAATTGAGCCATGCTTTATCTCACTCATCCAACATGGTATCTAAAAAATTGCAATTTCATTTAGTTTCTGAGACATCCTATTATTTGCCTGAATTTTATTACAATTAAAATATTTATCATAACAATATTCAAAAAACAAAAAATTCTAGAAAAAATCATACATTCATTGGGACATCCACTAAAATCTGATTAAATTCTCCCACTAATTCAGGATCCTCTCCTTCTTGTCCACTTAAGTCAGCCCACTCAAAATTCTCAAAGTATTCCTACAATAAATTGGATGTCATAAAATCTACATCAATATAAATTTGGGTTATTCTCACTTATGTACCCTAAAGTTGTGACCTTTAGCTTTGATATCCAAAAGTTTTTTTAACACTTGGAGCCCCTTTTTTCTTTTTGTCGTAATGTTAAGAGGGGCATCAATGTGTCAGGAAAAAAAAACCTTGGGGTACAAAGTTTTAGGGTATAATGCAAATAACTCTTAACGTTGATATACATGTAGGAAGAAAAAGAAATTCTATAGATAAAATTAATAATATCATTGCCTCTTAAAGGTTGAATTCATTTTCAATGTCAAACACAGATTTGTCAAGCTCTTTCCAGTCTTTAGTAAATTTTTCCTAACCGTCTCCTACCCAGTTGTCCTTCCCCCAGTGGGTGACTCGCCTAGGAAAAAAGTATGATTAAACTATAAATTCATATATTCACCTCCAGTAAAAGAATAAAGAACCAAAATAAAAAACAATCCAAAAGGTAGGAATAATTGTTTTCTAACTCAATAACTACAGTACATGTATCGACAGCAGTCACATATGCTTTTTGTCACACTTGTCTTCAACCTGTAATCTAAATTCTAACTTATGATGAACACTCTTTGTCAGAGACTTATTATTAGTTTCTATGTCTTAAATGCTTACCTGAACATTTATACTCTACTTAAATATGATTTAGTCTTCAGAAGGCTCCCTACTGTGCTATTGGGAAAAAAACACTAATTGAAAGACTGCTATTGGGAAAAAACGCTAACTGGAAGACTTTTGCTGTTCTGCATAAATTACTGTAGAATGGTGGCTTGTTTGTCAAATTTGCAAAGGAATTGATCACTCAAACTTTGTCATCAGGAATACAAAGTTGAGATTTTACAAATGGAAAGTCTGAGCTAGATGTCCAAGATCTCCAAAATTTTGGCTTCTATGCCTAAAGGTGGGTATGAACCCTATTGAGATCTTGAAGGATGTCTCAATGACGTTCAGGGAATTGGATTGGAGTTATTGACTACATGTTTTTCTTGTGTCAAATTTAAGGAGGATGCAAATGTTCATTGTTGGAATTACGCAGAACCGGAAATATTTGCCAATGTCCTGGCTTGTTTTTGGTGATTTTAATGTCACCTAAATGATCTTGAGAGGAGTTGTAGATATTTGTCTTTACGAGAGATTGATTAAACTAGTATATATGTATTTTTAAATTTCATAACGTCTGAACGTTCCAAAATGAAGAAAACAAGAACATGTTTTGAAAGCAATATAGGACCTAAAGCTAGATTAATGGGGATCGCAAATGTGTTACATAAAAGATTCATACTTCATAGTAATTCACAGATTATTTCTTCTTTGATGGAAATAATTCACATTATCAAGAAGGGTTTAAAGATTCCAGATCTTCTAAATAAATCGTCACAAATATTAACATTATAAATCATGATCCTGCATTACTCACATGCCAACCCAAGAAAGCACTAAAGATTAAAACTTGATAGATCCTTCAAAAACAAGAAATAACTAATCCAATTTTAAATAAATTGGCGTGAAGTTCAATTGAAAAAAAGGACCTATCCACACCGAGTAAGTAGAGACATGAAGACTACATCCAAGGTGACTGGATTTGAAAATAAAAAAATAGTTGAACAAATTTGGAAAATGAATAGGCTGTAAAAATTAATAAACAAGTAAATCACTCTCCTCTCTCACCACTTTCCATGAACTTCCTAAAAATTTTGGAGAAAGTGAAAGGGACTTTGAAGATGACATGACACCCTCTCACTTTTCGGTTGTCAAACACACCCTAAATGTTGGTTAGAGGAGTGGTAGGTTTTGATCTTAAAGAGATATTGATTAAACTAGTATATATGTACTTCTAGTCTTATAGGATGCTTTCATTATGTGGTTAGCAATGCACCATAGATTGCTAAGAACGGATGCCCGTATGGATATCTTGAACGCAAATACTTGCCTCCATATAATCATGAAAGCGAAGGCCATCATCACTTAATCTCTCTTGCATAGATGGTGTTGAGGTTAGGAACCAGGTTATATGCAATGGATTGGGTCTGGTATGTGATGTTGTTCATGGAATGTTGCCGCTGATTGCTTCAATGCTTGGCTCAGAGAGAACTATTTTAAAGTTAAGCTTAAAAGAGTTCTTTTGCTGACATTCTATATCCCCATGTGATATTTCAGTCTTCAGTTACACTTTGAGATGAAATTGTAAACTCCAAAATTCTAAAAAACAAATTATGCAACCGCTTACTAGCCTGATTACTCTGATGCAGGCTGAAAACTTAGGGTTGGGATAAAGTGCTCTGTTATGTGGTCATGCTCAAAATCGAGCGCTTTTTAAGTATGTGACCGCATAAAAAGTTTTATGTCATCTTTTTCTTTTTAATCTCTTTGTGTAAGACCCCCATAAGCTCAAACCCAACATACTTAATGTCTTTTATTTGAGCACCTAGTTAATTTTTAAGTATGGACCGAATTTTTAGGTAGTGAACTCGTTATTGAAATGTTTGTTGGTCTTTTTCCTAGTATATATTATATTTTCATTAACTTTATAAATTTTAGGGTTTTTAGATATTAGTCCCTTACATCTTCAATAATTGCATATTAGTCCCTCAAATCCCAATTTGAAGGACCATTTTGCAAAGCACTATATGATTTGAGGGACTAATATGAAATTTTGAAGATTCGAGGGATTAATATGCAATTTTTGAATATTTGAAGAACTAATATGTACTTTCCAAGATTTGAGGAACTATTGTGCTATAATAGAAGATATAAAGGACTGATATCCAAAAAACACTAACTTTTAATATATATGATGAATAAAGAAATGTATATTATTAAAAATGAAAAAAATGCATAATTCCACATAATATGGTTAGTCGGCACATAATTTGATTAATGACTCGATCATCGCATAATAAAACTGTATTTTTGAACATTGGTAAGCTCAAGAACTAAAATATTATAAAATGATGCAACGGAGACATGTTTTCAGAGCAGTATAGCAACCAAAATTAGGCACAACTCAACATTTTAAAGATCCAGTTATATGCAATTATAATTTCTTCACTCTGACATGAGTGAGGTGGATTTTTGATAAACAATAACATAGTGGGTATTAGCATGTTTAAATACAAGGAATTACCAATCCCTCATATTTTGACATGGGAGAGCGGTCTGAAGTCATGACTTAGCGAGTTGAAGTCTTTGATAATTTTAATAATCTTCTCCCTATAATAAAGCTCATGTTTATAGTGCTTAAAATCACACCAAATACATGAGAAGGACAACTGTAGTGAGTAAGAAGATAGTTCCATATATCTGCTTAAAAAATCTCATCTTATGAATCATAGAAGATTTTAGAAATGAAAAATAAGTATGGGAGTGCCCAAAGAGTTTCTTGAAAATTTTCCTTTATTATTTGAAATGGGTGGTATAGGAATCCATTTGAGATATATGTTCAAAACAAAGTTACCTAAAACATGATTAAATAGAAGGATGGATGTTACCGGTCTAGCAGGAGACAAATATATGCAAGCCCCCACTAGTTTTCGTTCAAAAGTTCCATTAGGAAGGTGGGAAATCGTACCCAAACCCCCAGTGTTTTCAAAGGCGCGCGCCTTATTGCGCCTCATGCACCTTACGATGCGGTGCGGTGTCGAAGCGCCCCACATCTGATGCAGCAACGCCTTTTGCGTCTCGCGTACATCCTTACTTTGTGTAGGTGCATATAGTAAATATCCTCATATAGTTTTATTTGTTAACATTTCAATCGAGTCTTTATACTTGATATTCCATATCCCAAAAAGCAAAATAAATCTATTAGGCCTTTTTAATAGCCTTCAATTGAGGACAATTACTAATCCTTTGCTTGGATATTAATCTTGATTTAACATTTGATTTAATAATTTATGAATTTTGCTATTATGTTGGGTGTTAGCATTAGAAATTAGGGCATTATATTGTGATTTTGTAGTAATATATTATTTATCATGATATTTTTCATGTAAATTCTAAAAACATGTTCTTTCACACTTGATTACATATATTGGGTCCACCCCGTACGTAGCTCGGTAGCACTCTGCCTAATAAACCCGACGTTCGTCAACCTCCCAATGACTCAGGAGCTCCCTCTGATGCTTTATGATCTTGCATCATAACGTCCGCCTCCTCGATGGACATTGGATCGTCGACGGTGGAGAATTCCGAGCGGCCTTGTTGTAAATTGGCATCTAAAAAAGAAACAGGGATGTTTACCAAAATGGCAGTAAGTTGGTCCACATAAATCAAATTTTCCGTGTTACGTGTTTCTTCTCTCCGATGACGACGACCGGCCAGATTTCTCTTTTCACCGGCGGTGGAGACCAGCAAATC